AGCTAAATTTAGATCTGCCAGGTATGGTCACGTGATTGTTGCCACTATTTGGTTTGTATCCATCTCCCTCAGCTTCACAAAAACAGCTTTTCTGCTTGGCACGAGCAATCTAGACATGACATACCAGCATCTGACTTATGAATGTATGCCGGTATACACAGACAATATAGTCAGATGGATCATGGTTGTCACGACAACAGTTATAGTGATCCTTATCCCCCTCTTCGTCATAGTGGTAACCACTATCCTCCTGTTTTGCCACATACACCGGGTCAGAGGTGTCCAGAAACAGACAATCAGAACCCTACTTCTTGTTTCAACTGTGTTTACAGTATCCTACCTCCCTTATGCTGTTACTGCGGTTACCCAAACTGTTTTGGTTGACGAGACCAAGTTTCCTGGCTGGTTTCATCTGCTTTATCAGATCTCACACAACTTGCTTTATCTTAATTACGCTGCTAATCCACTCATTTACATCTTTACGATCACAAGTTTTCGGGAGATTATTTGTGAAACTGCTCGGAAGTTTTGGAACTATTTTAAGGGACAAAGGTCGAGAGTAGGCGTGAAAGTGATCTTCTTGACGGTTCAACCGTTATGACTCACAGTTACAAGCTTAAAATGTATCTTTGGCATCCAGAATCGAAATTTGTAAAATTGCTAGCTGGTATCTATTTTATTGGATAAATTTACTCAAAGTTTATTTACACAAATAATTCAGTTCTTTGAACAAATTAACCCAGGGAATCCATCTGGTTTGAAAGTTGATACTGCGATCGAATTCCTGATTAATGAGTTTTACTTTTACTGAAGATTTACTCGAACTCGAGAACAGATATATCATTACAAAGCAGTAATATAAAGCTAATAATATAAAGATTATTATACTAATATGAAACAGGGAACACCCCTTCAATCATTTTGAAGACGAATAGTATTGTGGGCGAAAAATCATGTGTTCATACTTCATGATATATCACGATAACTACTAAAATATAGTCTTCGCCGTGAAATCGATTAAAATATCAAACACCTCAAATCTTCATAAAAAATCGTGTAAAATACCTTTGAAGTAAGAGTAATGACTCTTCAAAGCAGTGGGTGAGAATGAGCGAGGAATCCCACATGAATAACAAATTATTGTATTGTAACGAACTCCAGAATCCTCAAAATAATTTGTATTATTATTACTTTTAAAAAAATCCAAAATCATAAAAACTATTGCAAAACAGATTTGACTTCGTTTAAGTTGATAAATCTAAGTTTGTGGTAATCGGGATGAAATGTAAGGGAGCAGTAGAATATCACTAAAAATAGTGGGGATTGTCACTAGTCACTACCCCTCTCCGGTGATATTCTAAAGTCTATTTTTAAAGTCTGTCGCATACAGACTTGTTTTAATTCTAAATGGAAAGCTCGAACACTGTGGTAATTGTTACATATATTATGAAGACTGCGACAGAATAAAACTGACTAATTAATGCACTGGTTTCTGCGGGTTGTAGTACGAGTTCTTAATAAAATGTATAATTATTTGGTTTGTTGATAAAGTACAAGCCTCCAACATAGTGTTTGAAGTAAACATAAACTATTGGAACCTAGACCCAAGTAGCTCCGTCAGCCATGAAATTTGCATATCAAAACATGCACATTGCCGTCTTAAAATCTACTTGCAATAAATCTAAAGTCACATGACACCCTATCATGTGACTTGTTTTACATGATAACAGTTGTGCAGTCGCCATGACAATGCTGTATATTGCATGTCAGCTTTCTGCTCAAGCTGATCGCGAAATATATTGCTTAGTTTTTTATTAGACTTTTTGCTTACGTGTTGAATATAGTGACTTCTGAACGTTTGTCATTACACCAGGACTTACTCTTGACAAGTGGTCATTATAAAGTTAAGTTGTAGGATCAGTTGTATTGCTGTCTAATCAGACTATGTTGTCATAGGATTTTGCCGATTAGAGTTCCCAGTTGATGGCTAGGAAAATGATTTAGACCCCCTCTACGCTATCATTAGTTACCGATTGCACGACTAAAACAGTGTCCCATGGGGGCCGCTTGGGTTGGGCTTTGATCTGTTACAATCAAACTGTCAATCATACCGTATTCTCTAAACGTTATATTATTGTGTTAGGATTGCATGTTCGAAAAGCAAGAGAGCAGAATCCTCAAACAAAGACATCGGAACTACTGAGCCATGTCCGACTCGCAACGTAGCAGCGGACGTAAGTACTCTTCTTCCTTTATAAATTGATTTAATAAGTTTTAATTCTCTCTTGACTCAGTTTGACAACAGTTCCCAACATCATGACCGGTACTTATTCGATTAATGCTGCATTTCAAATGACCACAGTTCACATCCAATCTTGACAGGGCCAGGGTTGCCGACTACAGGTCGAAGATACCAGAGACGAACAATCGGTAACAGAGCCGCTAATGTTCAAAAGGGTGCAACCACCACTGTAAGTAACTTTTGTTTCTTTAATCAATTACAAAGATTAGTTATCTCGATAACATCTGCGTACTTGCACACGATAATTCGATGTTCTGGTTAATATGAGTTCAATTTTCATCCCTTCAAGAACTCTATTATTGCCCATTCCAGGGCTCATTATGCGACTTTGTCCTTTAATCAGACATTGAGTAGGTTAAATAGAATAACCAGGATTTGTCTAATAAAGTCCTTTGATTTATTGAATCAGGCCGCCCGACTAATAACCCAATAAACGTTGGTAAACTTACAAATGGGGGATATACTTATTTATCATTCCGCTGTAACCAGGGCAACTGTTATTTGACACCACCCTACACAATTGGTAAACTAAATATTGCAAGGCCAGCCAGACAATCGATTTGTTTTGTGCAAGTTCAGCTTTCAGAATATATTCCCTTATACCTAGTATGATAAGTCGTCTAATTGGATTAAATAAAAGGCAGTTTGGTCACCAGGACACCACGAAGAATTAGACTCTGGGCCAGGGCACATCCTTAGTAACACAGCCGGAGTTTCGCTGCTTTTATAGTCCAGTTTACTCCCCCATTATTCGTTACCGTTCCTTATTCTTTGTTTCATCTTTGGTTTCCCGTCCCGTAACAGTCTCTGAATTTTGTAACCGCCAATTGTCACTGATAAGTGAGGTCTCGTGTTGTTACCTGGCAGTTCTGGTGAAGCTTCACTGTACTCTAGTAATACACTTAAAACGCTTATATAAAGGACCTGCAGGTTTTTAAATCAGTTAACATAGCTCCAGATAGTGAAATAGTAAACATATCATTCGTGTTAGGGGAACAGGAGCACGTTGCCATGGTAACAAATTTGTGTAAAGTAATAAAGTGATGGTACTCAGAATATTTTGTACGTAGGTATTCCACTTTTAAATAATCAGCATTTCGAAATGTCTGTTTGTTTGTTCGTGTAGTTGTTGTATATGTCTGCTCTTGAACCAGAGCTTGTCAAGCTCCCAAAACTTGTTGAGCCTGTCAAGCCGGTCCCAGAGCCTGTCCCAGAGCTTCTCAAGCTTCCAGAGCTTGTCCCAGAGCCTGTCCCAGCGCTCATCGAGCTGGTTCCAGAGCCTGTCAAGTCTGTCAAGTCCGTCACTAAATCAGGGGTGAGTATTTTACTATCAAGTTACATTCCTCAACTTCTACACCCGTAAATCTGGCGACCAAACCTAACCTCTACACAATGAACTGATGTAACAGTTACATGTCGAGCGCTTTAACTGCCAATAAATGCCGTTTAAACGGGTTCTAAATGTCTTAACATTGTTCCACTTAAGCTTTTTGAACTCCCCGTTCTCTTGAATATTCTCTCGATGTTTACTTCTGCTTTTGGGCTTTCATTCGCCGCCTCGTCGTCTTATTTGGAACACGGCCATTAGTGTTATAATTATAATTTGTATAACGGCCCCTAACTTCATGAAGGACGCCAAGACAGGGTGTTATTTGTGTGTAATGGTAGTGGGTGGTACAGTAAATATAACTATAGTTTTGCGACTCTTAATACGGCTAATGCAAGTTAGGGCAATTACTATTTTATTCTCTCTAGGCTACTAACTTTCTTAATCTAATGCCACTAATCAGCTGTCCAATACAATTTCGATATTACATCTCGTTACTTCGTTAGACTGCTGATAATTGTTCCTCTATTAACTACGTCCTCTCTAGAGATCAGTGCTTTATAACCTACATCACAGTTAAGAACTTTAATCACCAATTAACATCCACAGTATTCCGCCTAAATACTAGTAACGAGAGTTATACCTTCTGAAACAGTAATTTCTTCACTTGTAAAGTGTTTGTTGGTTTATTGACAGTACAGTGCACGGACACTATAATATCTTGAAGCTGGGACAATCACTACATAATCATTATTTACCAGCTTGTTATGTGTATTTACCGTGTTACCATGGCAACCTGTATCCAGACCAAGCAACGACATACAGCTTGATACTGTGTTCCCGTCACAAATTACATAACCAGATCAGCTGTAACAACGTGACGTAACTTGTATTTTGTAACGGAGATTTAAGTACAAGTAGATGAGAGGTTCAGTGATATCCACATTCTGGAGAATCGGAATTATAGTATCAGTAATATGTGTGGTGAATTATATTGGGGGATATATTGTTCAATGTTGATTAAAGATAAATGCCTGACGCCTGTTTGGGGCGCTATGGCAACTAAATGCCACTAAATAGTTGATTGATAACGGAGTAACGGAACGGGAGCCGCGATCAACTTGACGGTTCCTTGATTTTATTGTATATGGTGGAGCTTTATAATCCCACCATCATTATAATCACTATTCCTTGTACTCACTTTGTCTCCTGCTGACCCTTTCATTTCCATCATTACATTAGGCTTGTCATTTGTCAATCCTTTTTTCGGTGACCTCTGTCGTAGAGTTGGTAGGTTTCGTTTGACGTATTCATTCTATCGCTCAGCCAAGTTTCTATAAGTTATGTGTTTCTCAACTTTACTTCTTATCAAGTCCTACAAATGAATAGTTGGGTGCACGACTCTTGAATCTGAGCCACATGTCAGCGAAGTCGGAAAAGAAGATGTCGACGTCAGCGAAGAAAGATAGGAAGGCGTCAATATCAGAGAACAAAGAGAAGAAGGAGAAGAAAGTGTCAATCTCCGAAAATAAAGAGAAGAAAGAGCCGAAGAAGGTGTCGATAATGGAGCCACCTCCCCGCGTTAAGCCTCCAGTGGACACTATATCCCCCCTCCCTGTATCATCTCGTATCTCCGTTATAGCTCCTCCTAAATTTGTAAGTTCCTCATTATCACGCCTGGTTTTTTGAAAACCTGCTGTTTTTCTACTGGCTCAGTGTAGTATTTCCGTAACATTCTATGTTACACATGAACGACTGTATAATACAGATTGCTTAATGTATAGTTCCAGTTGGATACCACCGGTAAATCAATTAGAAATATAACTCCTGTTACTTCAACTACTACTGGTACTTGATACCAGTTGTTGTTACCATCCACAAGGTCCACTTCACTCTTACAAACTGGGCGATAGGGGACGTGAATCTCACCCTAGAACTTGGGTATTGGTAATCTTGTTGCTATGGTTACCATAATTTGTTTGGTGATTAGGTATGCGATTGCCGGACGTTCTAGAATATCCCAATAAACTGTTGCTAGGCATAACACCGAACAACCAGGGCCAACTTGACTGCATAATATTCATTATCCATTATCCATCACTGAAATGAATAACAGATCAGTTGAAGTACGGTGTGAACACAGGTTTGCAGCGACTAAGAACGCAGTTCATTACCAGTATTAGTGGTAGTATGTACAACTAACGTGGTTCATTTCAGCAACGAAAGTCTGTGATCACCGGAGATGTCGTCAAGGACTTAATGAAGGCTACTAAAGCTAGCCGGGATATTAAGCGACAACAGGTATTATATATATTCCTTTTATGTAAGTTCCCACAAATTTGAGACGTGGGTTGCTTATTATCGCGATAGCCAGTGCTTCAATATATCATTTTAATTTAATCGACAAGACTTATTTGAGCTGTGATTGACCGATATAGCAACTATTGATTGATATTTATGCCCACCTTGAACCATATCTCCTACTGATTAATTAATATCTTAGTGATGGTCTATAGCTGATACACCTTCTCCCAAACTCTTATCAGTTCAACTCAAATCAAGCCCTTTACCCGCGTTGTACGATTTAAAACGTCTCTCTTGTTGCTATTGTAGTTGCAACTAGTGCTCTAGTGTAGTTGATTTTATGAGATTATGACCCAACAGATTGACGCTCGACATGGATGGTTATTTGATAAGATAGCTGATTACTGTGACTTACCTCAAGATGTTGTTGAAGACCAAATCTTAGATTCAGATGTAAGTTTCTTGTCTATTTCTAAGGATTTTGTTTCAGTTTTTTTATTCGATTTTAGGTGTTTTTAGTTATAAACTTTTGATTTTATATGTGCGCAAAATACAATGCTTAGTCAATTCTGTAAATTGAAGACTAAAATAGGTTACGCAATACGCATTATCAGGGATTGAGTAAAGTAAGTCTATTCATATACAGATTGCCTTGCTTTTTGGCAAAATTTTAACAAACGTATTTGTTAAAATATATTGAGTAATAGTAATAGTAATAGTAATAGTAATAGTAATAGTAATAGTAATAGTAATAGTAATAGTAATAGTAATAGTAATAGTAATAGTAATAGTAATAGTAATAGTAATAGTAATAGTAATAGTAATAGTAATAGTAATAGTAATAGTAATAGTAATAGTAATAGTAATAGTAATAGTAATAGTAATAGTAATAGTAATAGTAATAGTAATAGTAATAGTACTATGTTTACAGTATGCACTAAAGGGGTATCCTAGGAAGTTTCTTGAACTTATAACAGGTACCCTTACAGGTATAGCTCGGCATAGATTTAAGATTACAGAGAGTTTGCGGCTTATGCTTTACTACTCATAATATAACTTACGTACGTTTTGGTACGTTTTGGTGAGTTTGGCAGGGCGTGCTCAGGACAACTGCATCGAGTGCGTCCTCCTCCAGCTCAGCATTGAGTTATCGTTTGTCGGAGTGTATCCCGGAACCGGTGGTGTGTCTGGGTACTGTTCCATAAATCTGCCTAGACCAACTTTGAAACTGTCTAGCAATGTGATACTCCGGAGCTCCGATGGGAGCACGTTGAAGAGCTGAGCTGCTCTAACTCTAAAGCTGTTGTCGTAATCTGTTCTTACCGACAACTGTGCGTTTTTGTTCATGGCTGGGATCTCTGCCTTAATACCATGCCTTTGATGAGACTTGAACTCGAAGCCCGTATCGTTCGGAGCATGTTCATTAAGAATTTTCCATACATGAATAATAGAATAACGCTCTCTCCGCCTCTGAAGGGACATCAACTTAAGCTTCTTCAGCCTGTCCCAGTACTGGAGATCACGGCAGCCAGATATCTTTCTAGTAAAGGATCTCTGTACAGTCTCCAGCTTTTGTATCTCTGTGACTTTTGTAGGGTTCCAGACTGGACAGCAGTACTCTAGCTTGGAGCGAACCATGCTTTTGTATAAAGTCAGCATGACTACTTGTGACCGGTCTCTAAAGGCACTCAATGTCCAAGCCGCCATTTTTCTAGCTCCTTGAACTGTCTTCTCAATGTGAGGACCCCATGACCTACTGCTGCTAACATACACTCCAAGGTCTCTGACAGTTTCCTGTGGTGATATTGTGTGTCCTTTTGGTGTAGTATACTCAACAGTCTCTGGGTAGAACGGGAGCTCTCTTAGAGCTTTTGATCCATTCAGGGGGTAGTTTACAACCTCAAACTTCTGTTCGTGTAGCTCCATGTTGTTAACACGTGACCACTCGATGACTATGTTGAGATCATCTTGCAGTAACTCCACACTACTCATTCCTCGGATAGCCCCAATCAGCGTTGTGTCGTCTGCAAAGCTGAATCCGTTACTATAGCTAATGCTGTTCAACAGATCGTTGATGTACAGGATAAATAGGATCGGTCCTAGGACTGTCCCTTGTGGCACCCCACTTGCCACTGGCTGGAAGGATGATTTGCGACCTTCAACAACGACTGTTTGTTTTCTGTTTAGCAAAAACTCTTTGATCCACCTTAAAGCCTGACCACCAATTCCGTATCGACCAAGCTTGGCTAGCAGCACTGCATGGTCGACCTTGTCAAAAGCTTTGGCAAAGTCGAGGTAAATCACATCAACTTCTTCATCATTGTTGAGTGATTTGTAGATCTGTTCGATGTGACTGAGAAGCTGCGTCATGCAACTCCTCTTTTTTCTGAACCCATGCTGGTTCGTATTGATCATCATGTTCTCTTCCAAATGACGAACCAGGTTTTTTCTGATTACACGCTCAAATGTCTTTATGATGTGCGAGGTTAAAGACACTGGTCTATAGTTTGCTGGGTCCGTTCTGTCCCCCTTCTTATAGATAGGGGTGATATATTGGGTCTTTAATTCCGCTGGTATATACCCACTGCTGAACGATTCCTGCCAGAGGAGTGTTAGCGGGTCTGCAAGTTGTTCTTTGCAGGCTGTGAGTATCCTAGCAGGAATCTCTCCGTCAGGTGCGGCTGAATAGGGATCCAGTTCTCCTAATGCTTCAATGATATCTTTTCTTGTGAAGCTTAGCTCGTTGAATCCGGAATCCAGTCCCTGAGGTAATCCTTGGCTCTTCATACATTCATCAATATCGGCAACTTAACCATTTTTTGTTCAATTTTAATGAAAATCGATATGCGACAGTTTTGAGCATTCTTAGAGGATCCACCAATATTGAACCTAGAATAGATGTGGCCAGTTATAGATTCATAAAATAATCAAAGTTTCAATTTAGTGCATTCTTCTACTTTCCGTAAAGAAAGTACTAAATTATCAGTCAGCTGCGACATTTAAAAGCTATCACCCTCTAAATTAATATTTCGGTATGTAAATATAATGAACTAATTATTAAGCTTATCTAATCGAAAGGTGAGACAAACTCACAAACTAGTTCCACTCTGCGGATTCATCTATCCGCGCGCGAAAAATCTTACGCAATTGTGAGTAAAAAGTTTTATTGCAAGCATTTACCATGACATGAATTTCTAGCTAGCTAGCTAAGCTAATTTAAGCTAGCTAAGCTTCGGTTCTAATTTAACTGGTCGCCTTTCAGTTCACACTATTCGAGAACTTCTTCAAAGAGAACGGATCACGAGTTTTGTTGGTGTTCCAAACGCACGACAGGGACGCTGATGGGAAGGAGAAAAAGGGCTCCCAGAAGCTGTTGGTTACTAGCGGAGAAGATGTCAAACTTGTTGGAACTTGTACTTACTTCTTCAGAATTACCAATGATAAGGAGGTTATCGACAAATTCATGGACCGAGTAAGTTGTTCAATACGTTCTACATTTCGTCTTTCCCGTGGGAAGGGATTAACTGTGATTTCACGATGATATATTTTAAAACCATTATCTTAAGCTTGTAAAATTCTTATCTCACGATTAACGGTACCTGACCGAACACACATTTCACGGTAAATTCCCCCACCAGGACGTGTTCTTCGGAACAGTAGAGTCCCCCGACGGAGATCTTCTGACAGCAGTCAGGACCATGTTGGACAGTTTAGTTATCCCACTCTTGCTAAAAAATAAAGACTGGGGTAAGCTCTCTAATAACGGGAGCGGTGCTATTGTCGGAAACTTTATTACCGGGTTGGAAGATTTCTCTAAACTTCTAGAATCTGCCAAAGCCAATCTGTCAGAAACGTGAGTTCAATGTTTATGATCGCGACTTTTGAAATGTTACATAATCGTTTAAGTTTGATTGAAATTTGGGCTATTAATCTATGGATTAATGAAATTTATCTACGGAATTTATCTATGTATTTGTTTTCTGTGTGTATATTCCGACGATTCTAACGCTGAAACCCTAGTTTCATTTCTAGTGTTAAACTGAAGATGCCAGATGATCTCCCTATCCAGGGATTAACAACTCCTCAACAATACCAGAATACAGGTTAGCATCAGTAGTCATTGAAATTTGAATAGGGAAGTATTGTTATTAAAACAGTCAATGAAATCGCATGAACTTTTTTCCCGTTAAATGATCAGATTGTAGCCTCCTCGAATGGAGACCCATCTGACACACGATTCTACAAATAATAACACTGAATATTCCACAGCTGGTAACTTTGACCTGGTGACCCAACTTGAGGGAATAGTAGCCAGTTGGTGCAAGCAGATAGAGCAGGTCCTAGCTCAGTCCGAACAAATGAGAAAAGAAGCTGATGATACTGGACCCAACTCAGAGCTTGTCTACTGGAAGGAAAGGATGGCCAGTTTCAATGCGTGAGTTTAAAACGGGTCGTTCAACTTTGCCAACTAATGATTATCTGCTGCTGGCATTGATACTCGTGCCTATCATTTAAGAATTATAATAAACTTATCAGGTTATTTCGAACTTTTGTGACTTAAACTGATATTCCGCAGATTGCTCGACCAAATCAAGTCACAACCGTGCAAAACTACAATTGGAATCCTGTTTGCTGCCAAGAGTAAGATAATCAAACACTGGAAGACACTGGATGCCCGGATAACGGACGCAGCAAACGAGGCTAAGGACAACGTCAAGTACCTGTACACGCTGATGAAATTCTGTAAACCTTTGAAGAGGTGTAGCCCTGTGGAGATGCTGGACTGTATTCCCGGTCTGATCAACGCTATCAGGATGATCAACTCCATATCTCGCTACTACAACACCTCCGAGAGAATGACTAGTCTTTTCGTCAAAGTCACAAATCAGGTCGGTTTATATATTTTTTGTTTTTGCAATTCATTATGTACCTTCTAATAGACTTCTGCATCTGAGTTATGAAGTTTTGACCCTATTAACATGGATTGCCTCACCGCAAGTGCTGAAGTGTAACTCAATAATTTCCCCCAGATGGTGTCTGCGTGTAAGAACTACATCCTGAAAGATGTGAGCAAGGTATGGGAACTTCCCAGAGACCAAGCCCTGCAGCGTATAGGAGACTGCCTCAATCTCAACTTGGAGTACCAGGCATGTTTCAGAAGAACCAAAGAAAAGCTGAAGGAGAGTCCAAGTGACAAACAGTTTGATTTCAGTGAAAAGTACATTTTCGGAAAGTTTGAGATCTTTGCTCGCCGCATGGAGAAGGTGCAAGACATGCTTCTTACGATGGATAGATTCAGCATCCTTGCTGTCTCTAAGATCGAAGGAATGGAATCTCATAATAAGCAATGGACTTCGGTCGTTGGAATGGCCAAGAAGAAGAACTATGATATATTGGATCACAGAAGACAAGAATTTGAGACTGATTACGATGACTTCCTGCGAGCTGTAGAATTGATACAGACCAAACTTCAAAAGCACATGGAGAAGTGTGTCGAGGGACAAACAAGTGTAAGTTTGGAGGGGGATATTTAAAACATATAAGTGATACGAAAGTGTTAGTTTGTTTGGATATTTTATTGTGCCTTACTGTTCTATCTATGTAATATCGCTAATTTTCTGAACGCGACTGGACTATAGGGTAGAATATTTTGCGGGGTTGCTAACCTAAATTCCGTCATCCAAATCGAGATAAGTAACTAATCTGCTATACATTTTCAGACTTGGAAGTCATTGCTGATGTTAAAGAAGTTTGAAGATATGCCTCAACTTCAATTGGACCTTGAGGAGAAATGGTTCAAGTGCCTCATCTCCTATGGAAAGTAAGTTATTTTCATGTTTTATGAGACGCAGCTTATAGTCAATTTCATTATAAAAAGCTCTAAAGTTGTAAATAGATATTAAAGTAAAGTAAATTCAGAAAAATAACAGATTCATTCACCAGGGATCTAGAGAATATCAGAAAGCAGTACCAGAAGGTGAAAGATAACCCTCCAATCCCCCGAAACATGCCTCCTATTTCCGGTAGAATAGCGTGGGCTAGACAGCTCTATGAAGTTATTGACAAACCCATGCAGCTTCTCGGTACTCAACGAGGAATAGTTAACACCGCTGAGGGAAGGAAGATTGTCAAGAACTTCAACAGAATGGCGGCTGTGCTTGTTGAGTTTGAGGTGCGGTATTCTTGATAAATCTTTAGATTCGGTCATTCCAATGAAAATGAAATTATTGACTTGAACATCATCTTTAACCAGATCACCTGGTTATATATAATTGATCAAAACTCTTTGATAATTACTATTAAACTTGCACTAACACACAATCTAACAATAAACATTCCGTCTACAGGTCCTATACCACCAAGGTTGGACCCAGGCTGTGGAGAAGGCAATTACAGGACTCAAATCATCTCTGTTGGTTGAACATCCTGAGACACAGAAACTGTACGTCAATATGGACCCCCACGTGTGGGAACTACTCAGAGAAACTAGGATTATGATCCTCATGGAACTTGATGTAAGAAATTGTAGGAAATATTGTTGAAACTTGAAACTCATATAATAGCTTCCTTGTTGCTGCGTGATTATTTTTAACCTAAGTACATCTTATTGTATTATCGTAAACTGGTACAAAATAAGTACTGAACATTTATTTTTTCCTATTTCAGGTTCCTGCTGCTGCCAAGTCTCTACGAGTCAACATCTACACCATGAAACACAACTGGACACGACTTGAGTCCATCTTGGCAGACTACGACTCACTCATCAAATGTATTCCCAAGATCTTCCTGAGAGCGATGGGACCGATTATATCCAGAGTGGACGAGGCCATCAAACCTGGCAAATCTATCATGTCGTGGACCTCCATGAATCTTGACAGCTACACAAAGAACATTTATGTTGAGCTGAACAACCTGGAGAAAGTGATGAGAAGAGTACGTGATATGCACGATGTTCAGCTGGAAAACGTCCTGGCATCTATCTCTGCATCTCCTCTGGTGGAAATTCCTCAAGATGATGTGTACGCTGTGGACGAGTTCCTTGATATGTTTGAGAGGGAAACAAAATCTAAGTGCACCAAACTTGCAAGACAGATGGAGCTTATCGAAATTTCGCTCCACGATATCATACGTTACTTGAAGCAGAATTACAATGAATATGAGCTGGTCGGTTTGGAAGACCAATACAAGTGTCTCCGCCCAGAGGGTAAGAATCAGACCAGATGTACAGAGTGCCTGCCCTGCTGTGTCTTCAACGTGTATCAGTACTTCCACAGTCGCTCAACTGAAGCTCTCGTCAAATGTACCCGGAATTCTCTGGATGCCATCAGGAGAAGGTTTATCATCTCAACTGCTAATCAGTTCATGAAGTCATCCCGTGACCAAGTCCAAGAGCCGAAACCACCTCTGTTCAAAGCTGACATTTGTCTCGCTATCCCACAAACTGTCATGAAGCCCAGTCTTGACGACGTTCAAGGGTGCCTCAATAAGGCCGTCCAAATGCTCCTACAAGCATGCCAGACGATCAAGGACTGGGGCAAGCCAGATCCTGAAGATGGTAGACATAAAATTTTCTGGAAAGCAATCAGCGAACACAAAGACATACAGAAGGTCGTAATAATACTGAACACGATTGTGAACAGTACTATTGTGGAAGTTAACGCAGCTCTCTCTAGTTTCTCTAACTACAACTACCTCTGGCAAGACAACAAGGACAAGGAACTGGAAGCGTTCCTGAAGATCGATCCAACTTTGTCAGAATTTGAAGCAAAGATCAGTTACTACGAGAAGGAAGGCGCTGAGATCGTAGGAATGAGTTCTGACAAGCAAGTCGGTGCCATACTTATGAGAAGTGAACCTCTAAGAGTAGCACTCAAAGCTGAGTGTGACAACTGGAAGAACGTTTACGCAGTATGCCTCAACCAAAGGGTTAAGACAGACATGAACGATCTCATTGAGTTCATCAGTGAGATGTCTAAGAAGCTTGGTCGTAATATCACTGATTTAGACGATGTCCGAAATGCCATGTCAGCCTTGTCCAAAATGCGTGAGGCTGAAATCAAGGTAGATATGACTATTGGACCAGTTGAGGAAGCGTATGCTATGTTGTCACGTCATGACTGTCATGTCATGAGGGAGGAGGTTGAGAATGTTGACACCTTGCAATATCGTTGGACTAAGGTTCTTTCTCAGTCACATAAAGTGCAAAACCATCTTCTTACAATCCAACCCAACTTCCGTAAGGATCTCGTCACCAATATCACTGTTTACAGAGATACTGTGGATGACTTTATTGGGGATTACGATCAGAAAGGACCGATGGAACTTGGTATTAGTCCACAGGAAGCATCTGAGAGGGTCAGCATCTTCCAAGTTAAGTTTGACGACATGTGGCAGAAGTATGAGACATATTCTGGAGGTGAAGAGCTGTTCGGCTTGGCTGTCACAGAATATCCAGAGCTGCACAAAACCAAACGAGAACTTACTCTGCTTCAGAAACTCTACGGCCTCTACAACGATGTCATCAACACAGTTAACGGTTATTACGACATCCTCTGGCATGAGGTTGACATTGAGCAAATCATGAGTGAGCTTGTAGACTTCCAAAATAAATGCAGGAAGTTGCCAAAGGGTCTTAAAGACTGGGAAGCATTCTTGGATCTGAAGAAAAAGATCGACGACTTCAATGAATGTTGTCCTCTGTTGGAGATGATGGCTAACAAGGCTATGGAGAAGCGCCATTGGACTCGAATCGAAGACCTCACCAAATATAAGTTTGATATCGAATCCGAGACCTTCCAGTTGAGAGACATCATGAAGGCTCCACTGCTTGAATTCAAAGAAGACATTGAAGACATCTGTGTAGCTGCAGTCAAGGAGAGAGATATCGAGGGCAAACTCAAACAGGTCATTGCTGATTGGAGTACTCAAGAGTTCTCGTTCGGTATGTTCAAGACTCGCGGCGAACTTCTACTGAAGGGTAATGAAACCGCTGAGATCGTCTCGCTGATGGAAGATTCTCTTATGGTCCTAGGATCGTTACTTAGTAATCGATACAATGCTCCATTTAAACCTAACATCCAAAAGTGGGTAGCTAATCTGACAGGAACAACAGAGATTATCGAGCAGTGGCTCCTTGTACAGAATCTATGGATCTACCTAGAGGCTGTGTTTGTTGGCGGTGATATTGCCAAGCAGTTGCCCCAAGAGGCAAAACGTTTCGCTAACATTGACAAAAGTTGGGCTAAGATCATGGCCTATGCTCACGAGAATCCTAATGTAGTACAGTGCTGCGTTGGTGACGAGATGTTGGCTCAACTACTCCCCCATCTTCTGGAACAGCTTGAGATCTGTCAGAAGTCTCTTACTGGTTATCTTGAGAAGAAACGACTGTTGTTCCCCAGGTTCTTCTTCGTTTCCGATCCTGCACTACTTGAGATCCTTGGTCAAGCAAGTGATTCCCACACCATCCAGAACCATCTGCTATCTGTGTTTGATAACGTTAGGTATGTCACATTCGACGAGAAGGTTTATGATAAGATCCTGGAGATCATATCACAAGAGGGTGAGAGGGTGGACCTTGTCTCCTCTGTCATGGCTTCAGGTAATGTTGAAAACTGGCTTGGAGCTCTCTTGAAATCAGCCCAGGAGTGTGTTCATTTTGTCATCAGAACTGCTAGTATGGCTCTTCAGGACCCTAACTTCAAACTTGTAGAATTCTTGTTCAACTATCAAGCTCAAGTAGGTCTGCTTGGTCTCCAAATGCTGTGGACCAAAGAAGCTGAAATTGCGATGAGTCAAGCTCGAAGCGACAAAAAGATCATGGCTGCTACTGATCAGAAGTTTTTGGACATGCTAAACCTGCTCATTGAGGTCACTACACGTGAGCTAACAAAAATGGAGAGAACAAAATTCGAAACCCATATCACCATTCACGTGCATCAGCGTGATATCTTCCATGATCTCGTTGCAATGCACGTCAAATCTGTCAGCGATTTCGAATGGACCAAACAGAGTAGGTTCTACTTTGACGACGACAATGACGTGTGCCAGATCTCAATCACCAATGTCGATTTCTCCTACCAGAACGAGTTCCTGGGTTGTACTGATCGTCTTTGTATCACCCCACTCACTGACAGGTGCTACATTTCTATCGCTCAAGCTCTGCACATGAGTTTGGGAGCCGCCCCTGCTGGTCCAGCTGGAACAGGTAAAACTGAATCCGTCAAAGACATGGGAAGGTGTCTGGGTAAGTTTGTGGTTGTGTTCAACTGTTCCGATCAGATGGATTTCCGTGGTCTTGGTCGTATCTACAAGGGTCTCGCCCAATCTGGATGCTGGGGTTGCTTTGACGAGTTCAATCGTGTCGAGCTTCCTGTACTTTCTGTGGCTGCTCAGCAGATTGCTGTTGTCCTCAGTTGTAAGAAAGAACGTAAGAAGGAGTTCATCTTCACTGATGGTGATGTGGTCAGTCTAGATCCAGAGTTTGGTCTCTTCTTGACGATGAACCCCGGTTACGCCGGACGACAGGAGTTGCCAGAAAATCTGAAGATTAACTTCAGGACAGTGGCTATGATGGTGCCAGATCGTGAGATCATCATGAGAGTAAAACTTGCGTCAGTAGGTTTCATGACTAACGTGGTGCTGTCTGGTAAGTTCTTCACTCTCTACAAGCTCTGTGAGGAGCAGCTGTCAAAACAAGTCCATTATGATTTCGGTCTAAGAAATATCTTGTCTGTGCTGAGGACTATGGGAGCCTTCATGAGAAGCAACAAAGAGATGTCTGAAGACAGCATCATGATGAAAGTTATGAGAGACATGAACTTGTCCAAACTGGTGGATGAAGATGAACCCTTGTTCTTGTCACTGATTGACGATCTGTTCCCATCGCTTGTTCTGCCAACTGTCGGTTACCCGGAGCTGGAAGCATGTATTTCGGAAAGGGTCAGCGAGATGGGACTCGTAAATCATCCTCCATGGATGCTCAAAGTTATTCAGTTGTATGAGACTCAGCGAGTACGGCATGGTATGATGACACTAGGACCCTCTGGTGCAGGAAAGACCAGCTGTATCTATGCTCTCATGAGATCCATGACTCAGATGGGACAACCTCATCGAGAAATGAGAATGAATCCAAAAGCCATCACTGCACCTCAGATGTTCGGTAGATTAGATGTATCGACCAACGATTGGACAGATGGAATTTTCTCTACTCTTTGGAGAAAGACCTTAAAGATGAAGAAATCCGAGTATGTTTGGCTCATTCTTGATGGTCCAGTAGATGCTATCTGGATTGAAAATCTGAACTCTGTATTGGACGACAACAAGACACTGACACTTGCCAACGGTGATCGAATTCCCATGTCACCAAACGCCAAAATTATCTTTGAAGTGCATAACATCGACAATGCTTCTCCAGCGACTGTGTCCAGGAACGGTATGGTGTTCATGTCTGCCTCCGTATTGAACTTTGCGCCGCTCACAGGAGCTTGGCTTAGTAGTCTTACTCCTATGCAGTCTGACGTATTCAAAAATCTGATAGATCATTGCTTTGAAGAGACATACCAATTCTATGAGATCGCACTAAAACCGAAGATGGACATCTTAGAGAGTATTTTAGTCGCACAATTCATCAGCATCATCAATGGATTACTGCCTCCACAGGATGCAGCGAAACAGCCGTCCAATGCAAACATGGAACGTCTTTATGTGTTTGCTCTTATGTGGAGTATGGGTGCTATCCTTGAATTGGAAGACAGGGTTAAATTCCAAAACTTCCTCGAAGAGAAGGGTGGCCTGAGCTTGCCCAAATGCGATGCAGCTACCGGCACCACAATATTTGAATACTACGTTACAGATGATGGAGAATGGGCTCATTGGGATGCCAAGGTCGAAGAGTACATGTATCCTCAAGATAGTATCCCAAGATACGACTCTATTCTTGTGCCTAATGTTGATAACACATGCACTGAGTTCTTACTTGCAACCATCGCCAAACAAAACAAAGGAGTGTTGCTGATCGGTGAAAGTGGTACTGCCAAGACTGTCATCATCAAGGCATACTGCGGTAAGTACGATCCCGACGAACATCTGTACAAAGCCATGAACTTCTCATCAGCCACAACTCCTGGTCTTTTCCAGAGTGCTGTAGAGAGCTACGTCGACAAGAGGATGGGAAGCACATACGGACCTCCAGCAGGAAAGAAGATGACAGTGTTCATTGATGATGTGAACATGCCTGTCATCAACGAGTGGGGTGATCAGATCACCAACGAGATCGTCAGGCAGCTGATGGAGAACAAAGGTTTTTACAATCTGGAGAAGCCGGGTGACTACACGAGTATTGCTGATGTTCAGATCATGGCTGCTATGAGTCACCCAGGTGGTGGTAGAAATGACATTCCTGAACGGCTCAAGCGACAGTTCTGTGTATTTAATTGTACACTTCCTTCTGAAAACAGTATGGATCTCATTTTCAATACTATTGCTGCTGGCTACTTCTCTGAAGCGAGGAACTTCGTTCCCGAAGTTGGAGCTATGACTAAAAATCTTGTCCCCATCACCAGGATTTTATGGCAAAGCGTAAAGAAGAAGCTGCTTCCAACCCCAGCCAAGTTCCATTACATCTTCAACTTGCGTGATCTTAGTAGGATCTGGAAAGGAATTCTCAAAGTCACTGCTGAGGTTATCGACACACAAGACAAAGTCTTGGCCTTGTGGTACGGTGAAGTGAACAGAGTAATTGGTGACCGGTTTACCAACCAGAAAGATTGTGATTGGCTTCACAGCGCTTTGGTCGGAATAGTTAACGAAGAACTCGGTACTGAAATGGGTGAAAAACTCCATAAGGACATCTTCTTTGCAGATTTCATGAGAGAGCCACCAGAGCCAACTGGTGAAGAACCGGACGATGCTGAATTTGAGGCTCCAAAGATTTACGAACAAGTTAATGTCAAGACCGAACTACCAACCAAGCTAAAATCGTACCAAGAAATGTACAATGAGACTGTGAGAGGTGCTGGTATGGATCTTGTGTTCTTCAAGGATGCCGCCGTACATCTTGCTCGTATCTCCAGAATTCTGTCCATGCCCATTGGACATGCTATGTTGGTGGGTGTAGGTGGTTCCGGTAAACAGTCTCTGACTAGACTGGCTTCTTTCATCGCTGGATATGAAATCTTCCAGATTACTTTGTCCAGAACTTACAACGCTCAGAATCTTCTAGATGATCTGAAAATCTTGTACCGATCAGCTGGTGTAAAGGGTAAGGGCGTCACCTTTATCTTTACTGACAATGAGATTAAGGACGAAAACTTCCTTGAGTCGATGAACAATCTTATCGCTTCCGGTGAGATTTCAGGCATGTTCCAGCGTGACGAAATCGATGAAATTCTTGGTGAACTCGGACCAGTTATGAAGAAAGAGATGCCGAGACATCCGCCTACAAATGAAAACCTCTACGAATACTTTATAAACCGAGTCAAACAAAACCTTCACGTGGTACTATGTTTCTCTCCAGTGGGCGAAAAGTTCAGAACCAGGTCACTCAAGTTCCCCGGTCTCTTCTCAGGTTGCACAATGGATTGGTTCATGAGATGGCCTAAAGAGGCTCTCGTGGAAGTCTCTAACCACTTCTTGAGCACATACAAAATGGATACCCCAGATGATGTGAAACTAAGTATCATCCAGAGTATGGGTGTAATTCAGGATGGGGTTGCTGAGACATGTATTGAATACTTCAATAGGTTCAGGAGACAGACTCATGTCACTCCAAAATCTTACCTTTCTTTCTTGGCCGGTTTTAAGATTATCTACACTGAGAAATATAGTGAAATTAAAATCTTGGCTTCAAGGATGGAAACCGGTTTGGCAAAGTTGCTAGAAGCGAGTCAGAGTGTTGCAGAGCTTAGTGAAATGTTGGTAGTGAAAGAAAAGGATTTAGCAGTCGCCAGTAAAGAGGCTGACGTTGTGTTGCGAGAGGTGACGGTCTCCGCAACAGCTGCTGAAAAAGTAAAGGCTTCCGTTCAGAAAGTAAAGGACAAAGCTCAAGCTATCGTCGACGAGATTTCAAAGGACAAATTGGTTGCTACAACGAAGTTAGCTGCTGCAGCGCCCGCCCTTAAAGAAGCAGAAAAAGCTCTTAGTACCATCAAGGCGGGAGACATCGCTACTGTCCGTAAACTCGGTAAACCACCTCATTTGATCATGCGTATTATGGATTCCGTGTTGCTTCTTTTCCAGAAGTCTATAGCGAAGACCCAGATGGATCCAGAGAAGCCTGGATTTATCATGACAAGTTGGGGTGATGCCTTGAAGTTAATGGGAGATACTAAATTCTTGAATAACCTTCTAACATTCCCAAAAGACACGATCAATGATGAGGTGGTTGAGTTGCTTGAACCATATTTGGCCGCGGATGATTTCAACCTTGAAAGAGCTAAGGCTGTGTCTGGCAATGTTGCTGGTCTTCTCAGTTGGTGTCGAGCTATGTCCTTCTTCTTCAGTATCAACAAGGAGGTGTTGCCCTTGAAGGCTAACTTGGCTGTCCAAGAAGGTAGATTGCTGATCGCTAATACTGATTTAGCTGAAGCGCAAGGTCAGTTGGATGAGAAGCAAAAGGAATTGGACGTGGTACAAGCGAAGTTCGATGCTGCTGTGAATCACAAGCAGATGTTGATGGACGACGCTGAGGCTACAAGACGAAAAATGACCAATGCCACTGCTCTTATTGAGGGTCTGGCCGGTGAGAAAACTCGATGGACTGAAGCTGGTTTACGTTTTAGTGACCAAATCAAGCGACTTGTTGGAGATGCTCTTCTGTGTACAGGTTTCTTGTCATACTCTGGTCCATTCAACCAAGAGTTCCGAGACATCCTGGTTAAGAACTGGAAGACTATGTGCATGAGAAACAAGATCCCCTTCTCAGAAGATCTCGATCTGACAAAGATGTTGGTCGATAATGCAACGGCAGGCGAGTGGGTCCTGCAAGGCCTTCCAACTGATAACCTCTCCGTTGAAAATGGTATTATTGTAACGAAAGCGACTCGATACCCACTTCTTATTGATCCTCAAGGTCAAGCTACGATCTGGATTAAAAAGAAGGAGGCTGAAAATGAACTTACTGTCTCACAGATGAACAACAAATACTTCAGAACGCATCTTGAAGACGCTCTTTCACTAGGTCGACCCTTCTTGCTGGAAGACGTCGGGGAGGAACTTGACCCTGCGCTGGATAACGTTCTCGAAAAAAACTTCATCAAACAGGGTTCAACCTTCAAGGTGAAAGTGGGTGACAAAGAATGTGACGTGATGAGCGGTTTCCGTATGTACATCACCACAAAGCTCCCCAATCCCGTGTACACGCCTGAGATCTCTGCCAGAACCAGTATCATTGACTTCACAGTCACACAAAAGGGTCTAGAAGATCAGCTGTTGGGTCGTGTCATCCTTACTGAAAAAGCTGAGCTGGAGAGCGAGAGAAACAAACTTATGGAGGAAGTCAATGCAAACAAAAAGCGAATGCAGGATCTCGAGGATAACTTACTGAAGCGTCTTACCGAGACCCAGGGCTCACTGGTAGAGGACGAAGACTTGATTGTTGTACTCCAAGTTACCAAGAAAACTGCCCAAGATGTTAGTGAAAAGTTGAGCACTGCTGCCGAAACTGAGATAAAGATCAACACTGCAAGAGAGGAATACCGTCCAGTGGCTACTCGGGGAAGTATTCTATATTTCCTGATTGTCAGTATGTCCATGGTAAACAACATGTACCAGACATCGCTCCGTCAGTTCCTCATAGAGTTTGATATCAGTTTGGCAAGATCCGACAAATCTCCGATCACTGCTAAACGTATCAAGTTTATCATCCAATACTTGACATTTGCTATCTTCAAGTACACCATGAGAGGTCTCTACGAAGAGGATAGGTTCCTGTTCACCATGCTGCTTTCCCTGAACATCGATCTCAACAGTGGCCGACTCCGAGGAGAAGAGTTCCAAACCTTCTTCAAGGGTGGTGCCGCTCTTGATCTGAACTCTGTAGAACCCAAACCCAAGAAGTGGATCATGGATATGACTTGGCTGAACTTGGTGCAATTGAGCAAGCTCACGAGGTTTTCTCAAATCCTCGGACAAGTCACCAGGAACGATAAAGCATGGAAGGCTTGGTTCGATACTGATGCTCCCGAAGAAAATGACATCCCAGACTACAAGTTCAATGTTGATGAGTCATTCAGTAAACTATTGCTGATCAGATCGTGGTGTCCAGATCGTATCATCCCTCAGGCAAGACACTACGTCAACGCTAGTGTGGGTAAGAAGTTCACTGAAGCAGTTATTCTCAACTATCCTCTCTTGTATGACGAGACTCACGCAAAATGCCCACTGATCTGTTTCCTGAGCATGGGATCAGATCCCACTGAAAGCATCAAGAACTTTGCCAAGAAGAAGAAGACTGAGTGCAGAGATATTTCTATGGGACAAGGTCAGGAGGTACCGTCTAGAAGAATTCTAGCTCAGAGTTTCGCGGATGGTTGCTGGGTCTTACTTCAGAACTGCCATCTGGGTCTAGGGTTCATGGACGAGGTACTGGCAACTGTCCTAACCGCCGAATCCATCAATCCTAACTTCAGACTATGGATGACAACAGAGCCTCATCCTGAGTTCCCTATAAACTTCTTACAGCACAGTATCAAGTTTACCAATGAGCCGCCTCAGGGTATTAAAGCAGGTCTCTCCAGAACCTACAACAACATGACTCAGGAGCAACTTGACATTTCCAGTACATTCCAATGGAAGCCAATGTTGTACGACCTTGCTTTCCTGCACACAACAGTCCAAGAAAGGAGAAAGTTCGGACCGCTAGGTTGGAACATTCCATACGAGTTTAACCAGTCTGATCTGACCGCGAGTCTTCAGGTTGTCCAGACTCATCTGGACGATATGGATCCTAAGAGAGGTGTCTCGTGGGTTTGTATTCGTTACATGATAGCAGAGGTTCAGTATGGTGGTCGTGTCACTGATGACTTCGACAAACACCTACTGAATACTTACACCAGGACATGGATGGGCGAGAACATCTTCAACAACAACTTCTGCTTCTACAAGGGCTACAAAATCCCTAACTTTGCTAAAGTAGACGAGTATCTCAACTACATCAACGAAGAACTGCCCGAGGTGGACACACCAGAAGCCTTCGGTCTGCATCCTAACGCGGACATCACATACCAGAGTAATACAGCCAACACTGTCATCGAGAAGATCATCAACATCCAGCCCAAAGACGCAGGAACTGGAGGAGGTGAAACAAGGGAGGAGTTAGTCTACCGATTATCTGCAGAGATGTTGGAGAAGGTTCCAGAGAACTTTGTCAGTCACGAAGTCAAGGCCAGACTCATGAAATACGGAGTATTCCAGCCCATGAACATTTTCCTTAGACAAGAAATCGATCGTATCCAGAAAGTCATTACAGTTGTGAAACAAACTTTGATAGATTTGCAACTTGCTATCGACGGTACAATCATTATGAGCGATTCTCTCAAAGACGCTTTGGACAACATATTCGATGCTCGAGTCCCCAAGACCTGGTCCAAGATATCCTGGGACAGTTCTACTCTAGGTTTCTGGTTCACCGAATTGCTGGACAGAGATATGCAGTTCAAGTCATGGATATTCGAGTCCAGACCTAACGTGTTCTGGCTCACTGGATTTTTCAATCCTCAGGTAATTTACTCACAGTTGTTTACATTTTAATTAATAATTAATCATTACATAATATTAACTTATTACATTATTGCATAATCATTCCCGCTGATTAGATATTGAAGACAATAATGCCTCATCAGCTCTAATAATAATTGTGTGCAGGGTTTCCTGACTGCGATGAGACAGGAGATTACTCGTGCTCACAAGGGCTGGGCGCTGGATGTGGTGCAGCTCTTCAACGAGATGACAAAGATGAACAAAGAGGACGTCTCCAGGTATGCGTCCTTCAACTTCACATCCTTCCAATAATCATTAGACTTTAATTTTGTCTTGATGAGCAAGTCATTTATGCCTATGGTAAATTTTCATTTCAGTCGAATAACGGTTCTTGTATTTCAGTTCACCCCAAGATGGAGTGTACATATACGGGCTGTCACTGGATGGTGCTGGTTGGGATAAGAGGGGAATGCGGCTTATTGAACCTTCACCCAAAGTACTCTTCACACCACTCCCTGTGGTCCACATGTTCGCTCTCAATGAAATGACCAAGGAACAGAAGGCTCAACGAGTGAGTTTTAGATTTATTTAGATAAGTTGACTGATGTTATTGTTAACATGATTTGTTTGATAGTTGAATACAAAGATGGTGTCTTGTTGGAATTCTAATTGCAATGCAGGTATTGTGTTAATGTGTGACCAGTAAACATGATTTGCTGACTCTGACACTTTCCCAGGTGTACGAATGTCCAGTCTACAAGAAGCCTCAGCGTACTGACCTGACCTACATCACCAACATGAGGTTGAAGACGAGCCAGAACCCCGAGTACTGGACCTTGAGGGGCGCTGCTCTGCTCTGTGACATCAAATAGATCAGTCGTCACTCGATCTGCAGCATTTGAGCGACTATACTCAGAGTTTTTTGTTTACTCGAATGATTTATCAGAACTAGGTAAAGATTGTACCATTATCATTTAGTTCTTTTTGTTAGTGTTGGAATTTGTGTTTGTGGAAATGAACAAAAAGTACATATTTTGCTCAAGATAAAAGAAATTTAACGTTTAAACGTTTCTTCCTTTTAACAAGATTTATATGGTTTGGGTGTGGTTGAACCTAACTTTTAAATGTTGTCAACATGGAAAAATTCTCTGCAACAGGCCCAAATCGAAAAGAATGACAATTCGAAAAATATGCTTTTAGCAGAGTATTATCCAGATGTATTTACTTTTAAAACGGTGTATATATACACCACACAGTATTTCACTTCCAGAACTTACTTTTTTTAAAGATCTCTGGTTTTTCCTCGTGATTATTGATTATATTAATTAAATGTCCTTTAATTGTTGCATCCTGATTATCCTTAATTGCCCGTACTGAAAAAAGGATGGTTCGGGCATTTCTTTTGATGTAAATATTATCATGCTTGTTTAGATTTTTGCCATAAATATTTTGCGTTTCATTTTTCGATCAGTTGACTGAATTCATTTTGAGGTTGCAGTTGACAAGTTGTGTCGATCTCAACTGAAAAAAATCGTCGTACTTGTAATCAACGGCACGCTATATTTGACAGTTGAAAATTGAAAGTTGAAAACTTACGACGGCAAGCGGTGCAGTACACAGAGGAATCAATGATCAATATAATTATAATTATATTTATATAATTATATTTATATAATTATTCGTATTCATTATTTGATCATTGATCAAGTATTCCTCTGTGCACTAGGTACTGCTTGCCGTCGTAAGTTTCAATTTTCAAGTGTCAAGAATAACGTACCGTTGATTACAATATAAGAATATACATAAGTAATGCAATATTAAATATGATATATATATATATTTATATATCTTACTATATATAAAGCGAGACGATATATATATATATATATATATCCATGCCATTTTACTGACACCACGGCATCAACTTTAACGCAACTTTCCGCAAAAACCGTAAAAGATATAAAACTGAAACTTTTTTGACTGGGTCAAATGCTTTAATGGCCTTCAAATCAGCATGAAAAAATAAAAAATTGGCCAAGGAATAATAATTTTAGTGCCCAAAATTTGGACTCCCGAGTGGTGTCAAAAGTAGTAGTAGTAAATCTTTCAAAGTACGAAATATCTCTTTAAAAGAGCATCCTAGGCACCATATAGATATCAAAACGCATAAAAAAGAAAACAAAAACATCAACCATCTTCTAACTTCTTCCACTCCTCCCTATCTAAAGCTAAAAATCTAAGGTCTTCGAAATCAGTCAAATTCTTAAGTCTAATATCAAGATTTCTACTAGTCAAGTCTTTTCTAATAACATCTAATAAGTTTAAACATGGTCTACCCCGTCTCCCTTCCATAAAAATATCAGAATTTATAGCAAATAACATAGAGGTGTATGCTGGTGAGTCTTCCTGTCCTCTTAAGATATGTCCTAACATTCTCCATCGAAACTTAGAGACTCTCACAGACAAGGGAGTGACATAACAACGAGCATAGAGTGCCTCATTAGAAATAACCCCAGTAGGCCATCTGATGTTGAGGATTCTTCGGAGGTGTTTGCGATGAGCAATATCAAGTTCATTCAACGAAGCTAGTGGTGCAGCCCAGGAGTTGCAGTTGTAGAGTAGAATAGAGACTACTTGTGAGTTGTGCCTCGTAGATTTTGATCTTCCTTCGGACTGAAATCTTGCTCTTCATCCAAACTTTCTGAAATTTACTAAAGGCAACATTACCAAGTTCATTCAACGAAGCTAGTGGTGCAGCCCAGGAGTTGCAGTTGTAGAGTAGAATAGAGACTACTTGTGCCTCGTAGATTTTGATCTTCCTTCGGACTGAAATCTTGCTCTTCATCCAAACTTTCTGAAATTTACTAAAGGCAACATTACCAAAAACGCGAATTAAATAGGTAATAATTATTTTAGTCTCTCGAGTCTTGACACCACTTTAGTGTTAGACGGGTTCCTGCTAGTTTTTATAATAGTATCGAATCGCAAAAAATTAATATTATCCATCACCTGAGTTCTGCCGCTCCAACAAATCGATGTATTTTTGGACGCTGATTACGAATCACCCCCATGACGTAGGGTAAAATGCTCAGGGCCTTTTCACAAGATTTTTTTTAATTTAGGCGAGCGATTTATATTAGTCATTTAGTGGGAGCGAGTAAGGTTTGCTGGGTTATCCAGATCGATGAAATAGTGAAACGGTAATTAACAGGTAGATGACTAATTTGATGGAGTCTAGAGAGTGAAGATTGAAGAGTCAAGGTTTGAAGAATCAAAAGTTGAAGGTCAATGCCCAGGAAACCTTACTACTCCTAGCTGGGGCCTATCTTCGAAAGTAAAAGAGATAGAGACTTCCGGTTTTTTGCAAAATATTCGCCTCGTAAAAATAACGTTCCGGTAAGGTTTTCTGGGTTCACAAGTTTTAATCCAACAAGGGGCCATCTACTTTAACTTAGGACGTCCACCAAAATCGCAGATTTTCAGAACACCCCCCATCTCCCTGTCCGGGTGTGTCAAAATTTTCAAAACCAACCCCCCCCCCCCCCCCCCCCCCCCCCGCCCCCTCCCCCGGACGACCGGATTTCCAGCTACTTTTAAGTGTTAAGAGTACAAATAAAATCAACTCGAATTCATTGTCAAAGAGTTGAAATGACACTTTTTCGTTAATTCTGCCAAAATTTCCGGACGGATTTGAAGAAACCACCCCCCTCCCCCTGTCCGGATTAGTCCGGAATTCCAAAACCACCCCCTCCCTATTTGCTGGACGTCCTAAGTAGATGGCCCCTAATTCAGTGCTACTTCAGCTAGTGAGTTATGTCCAATTTAAGGATAAGACTGGATCTGGAAGAGCTGAGTCATTTTAGGGGCTACCAAATAATTTCCACCGGTATTTTGACGAGTTGAATATCCTGCACCCTTTGAACATCCTCGATTTGCTTGAATCTCAAAAATGGCGAGTTGGAGGTTAGATTCACAAGTTTTAATCCGACAATTCAGTGCTACTTCAGCTAGTGAGTTATGTTCAATTTAAGGATTACTTATTGAAAGCAGCATAACCTAGAGTAGACTAATCCTACGCTGAATGTCTGCTTTACTACAAAGCATGGAGCCCAGTGTGATGCTTCTCCACTGATCTCACTACCAGCTCTACTCATTTTGCATTCGATTTATAATCCTTTGCACACCTTCTTCTTCGAAGGCCGAAGGAGGCTGTGGTCATTATTACTATCTAGGATAGATCATGACCACTGTAAGATAGAGCATTGGAGCCCTGTGCTTACCCCGGTAAAATATTTATTAATGGAAAAAGTTAAACTTTGTTTTCTCCACATTTAGTGAATCGTTTTGTTGCTTGTATGAAGCCGATGATCCTTGGTAGTGAGAACTTGTCCACTATGTCTGTCACATTAAGATAGACGGAGTCAAAGTATCCTCTTCGTTTGAAAGACCACTTCGGGCACTGACCAATAAAGTGGTTCATTATCTCCTCTTCCATGAGACAGTGTGGACAAGTTTTACTTTTAGCGACCGTTGTCGGCTTGACCTTATTAATATGGTAGTTTAGTTCACAATGTCCAGTAATATAAGGAATTGTATCGCTGTTCTTGTGCTCTCTTTGCCAAGTTATGGGATTGATCTGGCGAACTTGTGTCTCCATACTCGTACAAAATGAGTGTTGGACAACGTTCTACATCTTTCCCTCATTTTCCGATGACTTATACTCCGCAGTGCTCCCTTCCATATAGTATAATAATACTTTTGGTAGTGGTAGTAGCACTTGGGCGGAGTCCAAGTTATCAGAGCCTTGTTTGGCAAGAGAGTCTGCCTTTTCGTTACCATCATAGCCTTTGTGGGCTGGTATCCATCGTAGTAGGATTTGATTGTCCATTGCTAGTTGGTTAAGCGCACTTTCAACGCGGAGTAGAACTACAAGAGATTGTTACGACTCTCTTAATTCACTCGGATCCAACAACACGCTAGAGATACGATGGATTGCAGCACACAAAAAGCAGATGAGCTGGCCAAGCTTGGTACAGTCAGTGAATCCACTTTGAAGTGTCCAATTCCACAATCCTACATCAAGCGTCAAATCGACAACAAAGTCAACAGACTGAATCAGGAAACTTGGTTAACTGACGGTCCCAGACACACCAAACTGACACTCGGCCACAAGCACGCCAAAATCATCAAAAACCTCAACACTACACTCAGCAACAACAGACAAGATTACAGAACTGCAGTTCACCTCATCACGGGTCACTGCGGCCTAAATAAACACCTTCACACCAATTGCAAATCAAACACCAGTGCTTGTCCCATGTGCGGCGACGGAGAGGAAACTGTCTCACACTTCCTCGGACAGTGTCCGGCTATTGCCCAAATTAGAGGTCAATATTTCCAGGACTACTACCTCTCTGTCAATGACATATTCGACAACCAACACATCACCACAATTGTCAATTTCGCAAACCGCACCAAACGCTTAATTGTGCCGGAAGAGCTGGATCAGACCGGGGTGACTTAAAGTATTATCTTATATGCTATTTCGTCTCGTTTTACTTTTCCAAACCCAGCTGGCACTTAAGCGTATCATTTTGACTCATATCACTTATTACACCATCTTCCACCGTTCACTCTGATTTCACCGGAAACCTTCCCCAGGGTTGCCACACCCCAGAGGTAGGCAGAGCATCTCAATGCTATCCTCTCGTGGGCTATCTTGGCCCAGCCTCTCTTTAAAAAATTTAAAAAAAACGTATTGCTGTGCTGGTGCTTTTAGATTTGACTTTGGTATTACTCATTGCCATTATTGTCGCCTGGCTATCACAGTTTATGATGATTTTTCTAGTTATGGTTCCAGATTCCCGTGATATTTTTGCCGCTGCACCTACGGCAAAGGTCTTAGCCTGGAAGACGGTTGAGTTAGTTCCTAGGTGGTAGGACTCCTCACGTGGAGGGGTGTGGTTATTCACAATGTGCACTCCTGCTCCAACTTGTTCATTCATTTTGGAGCCGTCTGTGTAGCATTGTATGTTGTTGGTATCGTTCTCGATTTCCTCATACTCTGAGAGTCGAGGAATTTCTGTGTCAACATTCAGTGATGTAGTCTGTTGAGTGTTGATCTTGCCCTTCAGAATTGAGATTGATAGCCTTTAATTAATAACTGTTCGTTTAGTTCTGAGTGGGTGGGTACTGGTTAGGTTGCCCTTCTTGTTAACCATCGGCTCATATATCTAGTGGTTGTTTGATTTGAGTCTAAGAGCTCCTTTTGCTGCTTCATCTTCTATCACCAGGTTAATGAGGATAATTCCGGTGATGATGTCTAGAGCTGCTCCAGGAGTTGATGGTAACCACTAACCCTCCTGTGGACCTGTTATGAGAAAATTCCCTACCCGCTGCGCTGTACGCTGCTTAGGATTGTTAAGTTATGTTTTTTGGACACACC